GGGGGGGGGCCCCCCCCCCCCCCCCCCCAGTGCACAAATTTTTGTGCACCGGGCCTCTAGTAGACTTATAAAGACATCTGAAGATGACAACCAACTTGGGATGAGACATTTTGTCTACTACCTATAATAATAAAAGCGTAATATGCTAATTAGACCAGACAGCCAAACGACCTTCCGGACGTCCTTCAGGACAACCTTCCAGACAAAGCCGGGGCTGTGAGGGCCAAGGCAAGCCACTGCTGAGGCAAGCCATCATTGAGGCAAGCCACCGCCAAGGGCCGAGCCCCTTGCGTGAATTTCGTGCATCAAGCCTCAAGTCTATATATACAGAAGCCTAAGAGACTGGCCAACAGGGATCAGGCTGAAACTGGAAGTCTGACATTCCCCAAGGGGTCCTGGATTGCGAGAGGGCACAGGCCAGGCCAAGGGACCCCACCAGTGCACGAATCCCTGTACTGAGCCTCTAGTTAAAATATATTATCCTAGCAATTAAAGAGCTTTCTAGAAAGACTATTTTATCTTATCTTAAACTGTTCAAGGTTATTTTACCCATCATTGGGTAAAATTTATAAGTCTTACCTTATAAATTAGCTCAACAATAACCAACTGAAGAATGTCTCCAAATGTCTGAACCTGATCAATACAAGTACTTAGGTAATCCAAAGCTCGATCCTAAAAAAATAAGAATATATTTATCAAACTCCACCTGATTCAATAAAAGGACTTAATGCAACTTAAAAAAACATACACAACTAAATAGAAAACAAATGAGGAAATTAGGGCAAAGAAAAATTAACTAATGACAAAAAAAATAAAGTTAACATATAGATATAAGCCATAAAGTCAAATATATGTTTTAGAAATGGGTCACAAATCTGGGGTCTGAATTTTCTTGCATTAAACCAAGGAGAAAAATACTATGTATTCAGGTATATGATTCAGGGATTTATACAATCAAAAGAAACCAGCTGCTTTGGAGTATAGTTCTTCCTATTTCTGAGATCAAGAAGAAAAATCTCATCAATTCTCATATACCAAACACTGATATAGAGAACTATGGCCTCAACAACATCTCTACAGTAAAAGTATCAACAAATTTTATCGAACTATTTCTGATTATATCCCTTCATGTAGGTAACACCAAAAACACATCACTAAAACCAACTCTACATGAGGACGAAACATTGTGACCTAAATAAGTAGTTTTCTTAGAGTTTTATTTATAAAGATAAAACAGCAGCATCTAAATTTCAGAGGAGTGAATAGACTCTATATTTTTCAATCCTCATGCGTATTTCTCACATTTTGATAAATACTGGATAACAAAAATTCTAAGATTAGATGCCACCAAGATGTGCAAAGTCACTGCTAGCCACCAGCAGATCCATATACTTTAACCACCAGCTGAGCTGGATGTAGAGTTGATATTCACTCATGAAACTTGAAGTCTATGAGAACACACATCTACATTGAAAGCACCCCTGCTTTCACGGACATGGCTCAGGGTGGATCTTATACAAAGCTACTGTTTTTCTTTGTTAAACAATTTTAGATCTATATCAAGAGAAGGAAAAACAGACATCAAAACCTCAAAGAAGAAGGCTATAGAATATGGCCATAATTTCAATCTGGAAAACCTGTAAAGTGGTTGTTATTAAATGTTTACTTTGAAAAAGAATATACATAAACAATATTCCAGAGAAGGGTTAAGAAAAACCACTTTATTTTTATACAAATTAAATTCAAAAATCTAAAAAAAATCAAAATATACAAATCACATACTATAAACAAAATTACTGTCTAAAAACTGGATTAGGCCTATGTAATACTTTTTTTAAAATATGTTTTTATTGATTTCAGAGAGAGGGAGAGGGAGAGAGAGATAGAAACGTCAATGATGAGACAGAATCATTAATGGGCTGCCTCCTGCCTACCCTTACTGGGGATTGAGCCCACAACCCAGGCATGTGCCCTAACTAGGGAATAGAATTGTGATCTGGTTCATGTGTCAACACTCAACCACTGAACCACACCAGCTGGACTGTAATACTCTTTTTTTTTTAAATCACCACCCTAGGATATTTTTTCACTGATTTTTAGAGAGAGTGGGAGAGAGGGAAAGACAGAGAAAAATATCAATGTGAGAGAAACACATCGATTGGTTGCCTCCTGCATGCACCCCGACCAAGGCCCCTGGCCGGGATGGAGCCTGCAACCGAGGTACGTGCCCTTGTCTGGAATTGAACCTGGGACACTGGCTTATTAAAAGCTATTACCTAACTTCAAGAATTATTCACTCACAACCATTTTTGTTACATTGATACCCCTCTCCACTTCCTCTCCTCCCATATTATTTTGAAGCAAATCCCAGACCACTTATCATTTCTTTTCTAAATAGAGGGTGTTCCCAAACAGGCTAGGCTGGGCTGTAATACTTTTAATTCTCGTTTAAGTACAGTCATAAAAGTTATTTTTTTTGAAAGTACTTACCTGATCTGCATGAATTAGCATCATAAATGCATTCCTTTTGCAACTTGCATCCTTCTCATTCACCAGAAAATCATGTATCAGTTCAGGAGCATCAGGTATAAGATGTTCAAAATTTCTTGAAATAAAACAAGTAATATCCACGTTTAATAAAATCCTATTTTGTTATTTTATTTTATAACTCTATGAACACTGCCAAAATTAATCTTTATCAAACTTTATAACAGTATCAATTGTTTTGTGTTTTAAAACTTTAAATCAATTAGAAAATTGTGTGTAGGAATCACAAGCTTACATCTTCATCTATTAAGTTATCAAATTATACTTTTATAGTTCAGTACAGAAAAAGCTAATTTATTCAGCATGCTATCTAACAACTGACTATCTCAAGTAATTGCCTTTCATATACTTTAGGAATAAAATATCAATGCTCATGATGACATCCTCAAGGTACTTAAAGATCATTCTTAAAGAATTATCAGAGAAAAAAAGCGTCCCTTGGATTTTACTAGATACACACTATATTTATTAGCCGATTTACTTACTCATTTCTTATTTTGGAAATTTTTAAGTATTTCTAACAGAATAATAACTGGCTTATTAAAAGCGATTACCTAACTTCAAGAATTATTCATTCACAACCATTTTTGTTACATCGATACCCCTCTCCTCCCATATTATTTTGAAGTAAATCCCAGACCACTTATCATTTCTTTTGTAAATAGAGGGTGTCAAAAATGTACACACACTTTGAATGATTAGAAAGGCAGTATTTATTAAAATACATTTCATTTTCAAAGTGTAATAGAATCAGCTGTTAAAGTGTATATATATTTTTTGGAATACCCTGGTATGTTTTTTAAAATTGAGAATTTCTTCTTTATAAAACTAATCATAATACCCTTATCAGACCTTAAAAATTTAACAATTCCTTAATATCATCATATAGCTAGTGTTCAAATTTCCAATTGTCTTAATGGCATAATTTTTGTGCATGTACTGGTAGTTTAAATACTGAAATTTGTGTAGTCTGTATGGTAGCTTTCAAGAAACTCTACGTTATTAACCACAATACCACTTTCCCTAACAGAAATAAAATCTAACATAACAGTAAAAGAACTGTAAAATTACATAATAATCAACTATTAAAGTACAAAGATATTTATAAAAATTACATCCTACTTCTAATGGATTGACACCAGTGATTATAAAAACCAAGCATTCTAGCTTCATCTAACTCAGCAGTTCTTAACCTGTGGGTCCTGACCCCTTTGGCGGTCGAACGACCCTTTCACAGGGGTCGCCTAAGACCATCCTGCATATCAAATATTTACATTACGATTCATAACAGTAGCAACATTACAGTTATGAAGTATCAACGAAAATAATTTTATGGTTGGGTCACAACATGAGGAACTGTATTTAAAGGGCCAGAAGGCTGAGAACCACTGATCTAACTGGTTCTTTGAATGTTTTTAAAGTTCAAAATCTTCAGCTTTCTAGTAAGAGGAATTAGTTGAGAATTGCAATCCTTCCTTAAAAAGTTCCCTCCTTAAGGCCTCTAAGGAAGGGTAAAAAGACCCACATTCCACAAAAAGAGAATTCTAAAACAGTCAAAACTCAAAACAAAGCCTTTAGGAGCTAAATTAATAAATTAATTAAGTGGGCTGGAGTAACACAACTGAGAATGACAGGCACTGTCATAAACTGGAAAGTGTACAACCTGTTTAAAAGGGGGCTACTTATCACTGAATTCAGCAGATTGTTATCATGCAGAAACTAAGACCCAGTGTTGCCAGATCTTTTGACTTTCATGTTGACAACTTAATGATAATTAAGGGAAAAAATCTTGTTTAGGCCAAATGAAACACATATGCAAGCTACATACAATCTGTAAGAAACCACTTTGGAACCTCTAATGTAAAAGAATAAACACCTCACAGTTTTAGGCCAAAGGAATATCTTATTTACCTATAGATAGTATAGATGGCCAAAACAGCATTTCTTCTAACATAGCTGTGACGATGCTCCAAACAAGCACGAATAGCTGGCATTAAAGGTTCTAACAATTCTGCTTCTTTCAATTTGCAAAGAAAACGAAGAGTGGATCCTCGAATAAATTCATTAGGATGCTGAAGATCCTGATATAAAAATTTAAATAGAAAGTGTTGAGTTCCAGAATTAAAAAATAATATATTAATGCAAAATTTTCCAACAAAAAAAATCAGTAAGTTGGTTTGAGAAAGACCTAGATTATCACATCATTTTCATCAGATTCCTGTTAATGAAAGCAATTTTTATTTGTCACATCAATTATCTTATACTAGAGGCCCAGTGCATGAATTTGTGCATGGGTGGGGTCCCTCCCAGCTGATCAGGGCTGTCTCGCCCAGTCCTGATGGGGCCAATCGGCCAGGGGAGGGACCGGAGGAGGTTGGCTGGCCTCCGGAGGTTGGCTGTGGGAGCCAGCGCACTGACCACCAGGGGGCAGCTCCTGCATTGAGCATCTGCCCCCTGGTGGTCAGAGCGTGTCACAGCTATTAGCCAGTCGTCGGGTCATAACGGTTGCTTAGGCTTTTATAGAGAGATTCTGTGTCACTGTTTTTATTAACAACACATAAAAATGCATAGGAAATGTCTGGAAAAAGTAACAATAAAACTTTTTACAGTAACTCCTTATAACTTCAGTTCCTACAAGTAAAATAAAGCCCTTTCCACCAGTTTTACAATTATCTAAAATCAAAGCAATATTCACAGATAATTATGGTTTAGTTTACCTTTCTATATGCATCACATACAAGGATCATTTCATGTAAAAGTCTCCCATCTGGAGTGGTTTTAGGAACAATTTCCCAAAATACCAGAAGTAATTTTTTGATGGTGTGATCCTGAAGAGGTAGCACAAAACGAATGATGGTCATCAGAAGTCCAGGAAGCTTTTCACCATTCAGAATCATGATGATGACTTTCTTCAAAGCTTCAGTCTTTGACTTCACATCTCCTTTTTCTGATTTAAAAAATTTTAAATAAAACATAATTATTTCAACAGAAAATTTCTTAGATAATTTCAAAAGCAATTAACAAAGTAAAAACATTTTCTCACTTTATCAGCAGCAATGATAATAAAGGCACAAACCCAAATAACAAGGGACCTCAATCTGGTCATGCCACAAACAAGCTGTATGACTTTCCACAGGTGATTTATCTGTGATTCGTTACATATAATATGAAGGCACTGGATTATATCTCTGGTCCCTAACCAATGGAATTAATGCAGAGACCATAAATGTATAGGTATAGTAAATAATATTATGTCTCAAACATGCAAGCAGCTATGTTTCAAAATGTAAACATGTGCCATTAAGAGCTTCTGAATTCAAAGTAGTTTTTAGTCTGTATATATTTTCTCAACCAAAGTTACAACCATTATTGAGGGAAGGAGTGATCACTGATATGTTTTCAACATTAGGAGATCCTCAAACTCAAAAAGATTGGGAACTGAAGACTAGATTAATCCCAAGATCCCACCATATTCCTACAGACTATAAAACTTTAGAATCTTTAAGGAATTACGTAAAAATTGGAAAAATTTAATTGTACTAGATTAGCCCTAACCGGTTTGGCTCAGTGGATAGAGCGTCGGCCTGCGGACTGAAAGGTCCCAGGTTCGATTCCGGTCAAGGGCATGTACCTTGGTTGCGGGCACAACCCCAGGAGGGGGTGTGCAGGAGGCAGCTGATCGATGTTTCTCATCGCTGTTTCAAATTCTCTATCCCTCTCCCTTCCTCTCTGTAAAAAAGTCAATAAAATATATTTTTTAAAAAATAAATTGTACAAGATTAGTAGCCACTGTTTAGAATTAAGGATAACACATTTAAGATAAGGTGCTAGTTTATTGTTACTTAGTCTAAAAAAATATGCACTATAAAGTATTTTATGCAAAACCATCTATAACTTTACAGCATTATCTTTGAATACTAAAGAATTTATGGTACATCTTTTGGATCCAAAATTCAAAGGCAGAAATATAAGAAACAAGCACAATGCTACAACTGTTTTGATCATAAAAATAAACAAGTATCTAGAAGGACAGAGGGAAGACAAAGGTACTTAATAATCTTAGAGTTATCATGAGCAAAAAACAAAAAATAAATTTCTAATACTTAGAGCAAAGTGGCTACTACATAAAGAGTTCTTTGCTGTTGCCAAAGAGACAGAAACTACAGTTGGTATAGAGTTATAGAAAGGATTTAAGCTTTGGAAGAATTGTACTAGGCGAAACAAAAGTTCATTCTAGCCCCTAAAGGCTAAGTATCTATTCCTGGCTTGGTATGAGATTTTAACATGTTGCAGAACAGAGTATATCCTCAGATATTTGAACTGAAAACAAAGTGAGGGTTATTAACATATTTATCCCATAAGGGTCAGTATTTTTGTTTAAAACTGACTAAATTCTCATACATCTCTCCCTGCTTCAGAGTATTTTATCTCCTGCCATATATTAATAAAAATTGGCATGTGCCATGTCAAGTCAAGAAATAAATGTTGAAGGATGGAGTGCCAATCTGGGCAAACTTTGAGTTGTTAAATCTGTGAAGAGGACAAAAACAAAGCATCAGGAGAGATGTCAGTAGCTGATAACTATAACCACAAAATAGGCAGAGTTCTAAGTGACCAAAGTTGTATTCACAATACAGGTTTTCCTCTCTTTGTCACAAACCTTCCTTTCTGAGTAAAAAAAAATAAAAATAAAAAAATAAAAATAAAAATCTACACCATTTATATTTGAAGCCTCCTCAACACCAATTTCCAATTATTTTAACAATTCAAATTGAGTAGGGGGATGCTTTTATCCACATCTTCAAAATTTTCAAAACTTCTGTTCCTTTATGATCACTACCAAAAGATATGGAAACTTTGAAATATCAATTCAATTCACCAGAATATTACTTCATACTTCAGAGAATGTACAGCCATCAGAGCACATATCCAGTGAGTGATTAAAGGTAAAGAAAAGTGTAGGTAAAGCAATGAAGTATTTCACCAAACAAAAAGTATTTGTTACGCAAATTGGAAACTACTTCTAAACTTTTTCTCATCTCAACTCTTTTGGTTAGGGAAGGTTAGTCAAGGCAGCTGCAATTAAAAAAGGGTACTGTTTACAATTAAGGATAGGTTTTGTTCTTTACCTTTCTAGTTATAACCTTAAGTATTTTGGGGGTCTAAAAATAACTAAAGTTTATTCATTAATTTTCATTCCATTCTACTATAAGTATGAACACACACACACACACACACAGCTTTTGTATATAAAGGTATCAGTTTAAATGCCATAAAACAGGGTTTCTTTTTCCTTCTCTAAAAATAGACCTCAATAGAAACCTAATAAGTGAACTAAAATCCATTACTACTTAGTAAGAGGTGGGAATACACAAAATATTGTCTCCTTTCAAACTGCAAACTATCTTTCTAAAAGATACTTTCAAGACCTGAAGCATAATTTTCACTCTATTTTAAACAGTCGTTATCAGTTTAAGTTAAACTTATTTTTAGTAGTTCAATTAAACAAGACTCATTATTTTGGAATATGGGTCACTTAAAAATTTTCTTTACAGAATTACAAAGAAGGAGACACAGTGTACACTTTTAAAATTCAGAAATATAGTTCTTGTTTTTTGTATGTTTTAAAAATGAAAAGTTTAAACCTTTCTAGAAAATACATGTGTATTCTTGTGTTGACTTCATTTGGTCAACAGGTGAAAACAAAGTTCTTTTGGTTTTACAAGCTAAGTAATATGTTACATGCACAAAGGAACTAAGACATTCAAATACACATTCTCTCAACCTGTTACCTACAGAGAATTGTCAGATATATTTAAGCATAGTCTATTAAACCACACAAGCCATTATGTTATTTTTAAGACTATCTAACAACTAAATTATTACATTTCTTTAGCTTTATGAAGCTGGACTGAGATGTTTTATTTCCAAAAACCAGTACGTCTAAAGGTAACAAAAGTTTCCATTTTTTAATAAGACAAAAGATCTATTGAAGAGATCCTAGAAAAAGCTTAAGACAAAAATTAAGCATTTCTAATGATAAAGAAACTTGAAGTGCAAATGAGCCTTTCATTTCCAAAATATCATCAAGGTTTACCTAGATCATTTTTTAAGCTCATTTCCGATGGAGGTTCCGAGTCCATTGGCACGTTAATTAACGTATAGCACACATTCTCGGCAGCCGTCATGGTGCCCGGTGATGACCAACCCTGGGTACAAGGTTTAAGGATAACAGATGCCAGAAAAATCTAGAAAAGCAAATACAAGGATAGGATGTCATTGCAAGTAAAAAAATAAAAACACAACCAGTAACCACCGTGAACTTCACTGTCTAAAGTTCATTCCGTTTAGCTTATGAGTTTTGAAGTATCAGAAGGGTTGGGTCAACATATATTGTGTCCCACAAAAACAGAGCCTAATATTAAACACACACACACACACTTGTCATTTTCGACCTAAGGCGAGCTTTTCCGCCCCCCACATCGCCCCGGGTGGGGAGCGCTGTGCTGCAGAGCTCAGGCCCACC